CTTAAAAATGGGAGGTGAAAGGGCCTCATAAGTGGAATAGCCTAGGGCCTCTTTTCATCTAAATCCGGCCCTGGTCACCACACTATGAAAAAGATGTTGAGACTCTAGAAAAAGTGTAGAGAAGTGCAACAGGATGATTAGGGGCCTGGAAGCTAAAACATATGAAGAACGGTTGTTGGGATTGGGTATCTCTATTTAAATGAAAACAAGGGCCAGGGGAGATCTGATAGCCGTGTTCCAATATTTGAGGTGCTGCCACATAGAGGAAGGGGTCAACCTATTTTCCAAAGCACCTGTGGGCCAGACAAGGAATAATGGATGGAAACTGATCAAGGAGAGGTTCAAAACTAGAAATAAGAAGAAATTTTCTGACATTGAGAACAATCAATCACTGGAACAACTTGCCTTCAGAAGTTGTGGAAGTTTCACCACTGAAAGCTTTCGAGAAGAGACTGGACAGCCATCTGTCAGAAATGGTATAGGATCTCCTGTTTGAGCAGGGGGTTGTTGTTGGACTAGATGACCTACAAGGTCCCTTCCAACTCTGTTATTCTAAATACATTATTCTACATACAAAACATGATCTATCCATCCCCAGGGTCTGGAACTTTAATTAACTAATTAGATTTCAATAGGGAGACATATTTTTATTTTGCACTATCCTAAATGTGTTTTTCTGACCTTAATTTTGCCTGAAGTATTTTTAAAACAAGGTGAAAATATAAACTAGTCAATTATTGAGCTAGAACAGCAACAAGAGATGGTTATTTTAAAAATCCCTGTTTCTTCCATGAAGCAGATGGAAAGGAATCAGCAAATGAACCCTATTGAATCATTGTCCAGTTTGATTGAAAACATATTGATACAAATTTTCATTGGAAGTTTATGAAACTTATTCTTGGTAAATTTGTTTTGGGACTGCTTGCCATTGGTTTCAGAAATATATTCAATAACATTTGTAATTAAGAGTATATAGTGAATAATCTTATCTATTTCACTGAAATCCAAATTTTTATACAAGATCATTTCCAGTAAGAACTAATCACAAACATTATTCTTATC